GAAATAATGGTCCAGGTAGTGGAAATAATGGAAATAATGGTCCAGGTAGTGGAAATAATGGAAATAATGGTCCAGGTAGTGGAAATAATGGAAATAATGGTCCAGGTGGTGGAAATAATGGAAATAATGGTCCAGGTGGTGGAAATAATGGAAATAATGGTCCAGGTGGTGGAAATAACGGAAATAATGGACCAGGTGGTGGAAATAATGGACCAGGTGGTGGAAATAATGGACCAGGTGGTGGAAATAATGGTCCAGGTAGTGGAAATAATGGAGCAGCTCCAGGTGGAAATAATGGCGCAGCTCCAGGTGGAAATAATGGAGCAGCTCCAGGTGGAAATAATGGAGCAGCTCCAGGTGGAAATAATGGAGCAGCTCCAGGTGGAAATAATGGAGCGGCTCCAGGTCAAAGTGGTGTAAATAATGGAGCAACACCGACTCAGAGTGGAACTATTCCAGGTGTAACAACAACAGTACCCACGACTACCTCAGTACCTTCAATAGCACTTTCTCCAGGCAGCACTGGTTCTGTTATACATTCATCAAAAACTTCTGGGTCATATGGAATAATCAATATTTACGCTTTATCTAAACCATTAATACTCGTAACATATTATTGTAATTATCCTGTGCAATCCTATCAGATGTGCGGACTTATATTAGATTGGTCGGGTAATGTTAAAGGGTAAGTTAAATTTAAAAAATTTTCATATACAATGAACGAATAACTTATTTTTTATGTTTGTTTTACCCTAGAAATGTGATTACATTTAGTGAAAGTTGTTCAGCTAGCGAAATAGTTAAAAGTTATAAAGAAGAAGGATTTTTGTATACTTGCTACAATTCTACAACTAACACTTTAAAATGGGCTCCATACATATTGTAAGTTTTCTTTTGGAAAATACTTTTTTAATATTACAATTTTATTTTTTCAAAATTATGCCATCAAAAAATAGTATTAAATTATCTTAATATTCTAGAAACTCGGACCAATCATTCTCTACTAACTCATCCGGTCAAACTACCGAAATTACTCAAATTACAAACATGACATTATTTTCAAAATTTATAAACATTTTTCCTACTGAGGATGGTGGTTACGGATTAGTTTATACACATTATACTTCTATAATTGGTCAAGGAATATCAAGTCCATGGGTACTTTATTATATGGGGATTTCTAACAAAGATTCTTCATCTAAAACACCTTTTCAAATATATCATTCACAACCTAATACAAATACTACTGATTATAAATTGTACCAATGCTCTGTTGCACAAGAATCTGTTGGATACAACTGTTTGTTATATAATAATCGAACTGATAAATCAGTATACATCAACATTAATTTCTGGACTTCCAGTTTTTTCAGTAATCAAACTGAATTAACTGTGAATTTACCTGCTCCATATACTAATGTGATAGATATTGAGGCTTTAGCCTATGGTGGTTATATTTTTGTGGCTAAGGACACTTCAAGTACTACAGGCGTAGGAAATTATAAAGGGTATATATATTATAATAATGGAACCTATGTCGGAGATTGGGGACTCCCTGTTATCACATCCGACCAACCGATTGTTGGAGTATCCCCAGATAACACTGTGTGGGCTATTAATGGAAGTAGTTCAAGTTCAAATGTGACGATGGTGTCATCCGATACACTAACAAATTTCCGTCCAGGTAAGCGATAGTTGAAATTGTTATAAATATTGCATGCAAATTTTTATTGATCTAAATATACCTTTTTTAAAAAATAAAAAAAAAAGGTGGAGCTTTAGGTTCATCCTATATACAAAGTGTCATACCGGCTGCAAACTCGACAATTGCACCAGGAATGAGTGTGCTTTATATAACATACACTGGTCCAGTTTCAAAGTCTAGCGGATATTTCAGGATTTGGCAAGTCAACCCTTCCGGAGGCGATGATTATTTGCGTGGCAAAATTCCGGCATCTGATAACAGAGTTAAAGTTGACGGTGCAAATGTAACCATATCCCTGTTACCAAGTTTTACTAGTAGTGGTAGTGAACGTTTTTACGTTACAGTGGATGATGATGCAATGAAAAATCAAGAAAATCAAAACCTTATTGGTATCAAAAAACCGGCGTGGAGTTTCAATACAAGTATTTATTATGTTTGTTTTAACTATACGTATAGCACTTTTTTTTTTTTTTTTTTTTAGTTGTTTTCTGTTATTAATATAACTCTGCATTTTTATTTTAGGTCCAGCTCAAGATAATGGTACAGGTACTTATAAAATTTCCAAATATTTATCAATTATTATTATTATTTTTTTTTTAAAAAAGACACTATTAACATAAATTTAATATGTAGGTGTTGCAAAAGTCATTGTTCGTCTAACCACAGAAGGGACTACGCTTTACGTATCATCATCATCAAATGATAGATCAACTTTTGTCAGAAATATGAGTAGTAATATTGCCACAGTACTTGGTTGCGATATCTCGCGTATTTCAATGCCAATACTTTATCAATATAGTACTAGCCATGACAATAATGTCGGTGATCAAATTTTTATGGGTGTTAATTTCAATCAAGGCTCCGCTACAGAGAGAAGTGCATCTAGCCTTGCTAATGATTTGAATGAAACGATCGCGAACAAGGATATTTCAGCAATATCCACTGGCACAACCTCTAATTACCTTGATCAATCTAATGGTGCTTGGCCAATACGTAAGTTCTCATTATATTATATTCCTTATGCATATCATCTTTATATTTCCAATTTATAAATTTTTAATTTTTATCTACAGCTTATTTATGGGGTAAATACAAATTTATTCTTATTGGCGTTTTAATTGGACTTGCGATCTTATTTCTCTTGTGGTTCCTTGCGTGTCGTAGGCGCTATAGGGTTAGTAGGATATAAACATAAATTTGTAGATTTTTTAATATATATCTAAAAATCCAAGTATTCATATTTGTTTTTTAAAGGATGATAAGACAAGAAGAAGACGACAATATGCAACTCGTAGCTTCATTACCATCTTTTTGTCCACGCTAATAGTGGTAGATCTTATATTGGATATTATATTTATTTGTCTTCATGGAAGGGATGAAAAATGGATTTTGCCAGTCAGGTTTGTTATTGAGTGAAATAATTTCGAGATTGTTTGTAACCGTTAATAATTAATAAATATTAAATCTTATATATTTTTTTCAGCATTGTTTTCTTAGTGGTTCCTATCTGCTTTTGCATGCTATTTACCTTCATAATTATTAGTCGTGAGCTTAGTCATAATGAGCATTATAAAAAATGGTGGCAGAGGCATAGCCGCACTGCATTAGCTACAACACTTTTATCGGGACTTGATAATGAAGCTTTGAACGTGTCTTCTTCACACACTGGTGGCTTTCGTTCATTAAATGCTCCTTACTCACCAGAGGCTGATAGGCGGATTTTCTATTGTACTGCTATTATTGTACTTATTGAAGATGTACCTCAATTTATATTTTTGGTAAACAAATTTACAGATATAATTATAATTTGTGACATAATTATAAATGATAAAACTCATTTATTTTTCTATTTTATATAGATAATTTATCAAAAAGTTACTATCATTCCAGCTATTGTTCCTATTCTTGCGCTTTGTTCATGCACGATTCTCATATTTTTTAGGGTCATATCAATAATATATCTTGGATTCTTCTATGATCGAACTTCAATTGCCGATCGTGATTATGATGAAGAACTGAAAGATGAAAAAGATAGTATTGAAGCCATGGATCCAGGTGGCCCTGTTCCCGGTAAGTTCTTTTCTTATAATACTTAATAAAAGTTTAAACTTTAAAATCTTACCTTTTTGTATACAATACTTTATAGTTCATAATACAGAAAGGGTACCAACGGGTCGACTTATTCCAACTGAAGAAGAAAGTCAAACTATGTCTAATATTCCTAGTCATCACAAAGGTGCTCTATTTATTGGATCTGGATCTGTTGGGAAGGATGGAAAGAATGGAAAAGATAGCCCTAAAACTAGCGATAGAGGGGGACTGGGTGTGCATGCGAAAAAAACTGATCTCGCTGAACATGAAGGACCATTAGGAAAATTCGCCCATAGACATTCAAATTTAGATTTAGGAATGGATGATCAGGATTTCGAAACTAGGGAAGAAATAATAGAAGAAGATGGTGTTCCCATAACCAAAATTGAAAAAATTTATTCTCCTAAAATTGAAAAAACTAATATTTATGAAGACGTTTATATTGAGGGTGATGCACATCAATCACAAACTAGAGAAGGTAGTTCTACAATCCAGGAAATCACTCATTTGTCTCATCACCAATTACCACCCGATTTTCCACCGGGTTCCAGAACTCAAACCACGACATATGTGGATGAAGAAGGCATTACTAGAACCAGAACCGAATACATTTATCCTCAAGGACAATTCTCTGAAAGCCATTTACCAGATCTGCCACAGGGTTCCAGGACTAATACCACGACATATGTAGATGAAGAGGGTGTTACCAGAACCAGAACTGAATATTTATATCCAGAAATACGTTTATCTGAAAGTCAATTACGAGAACTGCCACCAGATACTAGAACTCATACCACAACATATGTAGATGAAGAAGGTGTTACCAGAACCAGAACTGAATATATATATCCAGAAATACGTTTACCTGAAAGTCAATTACGAGGACTGCCACCAGGTACTAGAACTCATACCACAACATATGTAGATGAAGAAGGTGTTACCAGAACTAGGACTGAATATATTTATCCTGAAACTGAAACAATTACTACCGTTCATGGAGATGCGCCTGATATAAGTACAACTGAAATTCATCCATCACATATTAGCCGAGGTGATGAACCTGAAATGATAAGAGATGATTCAACAACAACAACTACTACTACTCGTACTACTCATGGAGTACCAGGTAGTCAAAGCTCGACAACTACTACAGTAGTAACCAAAAAAAATGATACTTAGTTTTTTAATCTAATTTTATAAGAATTAGCTAATAAAATAAAATTTAATAAATAAAACAATTATTAAAATTGTTTAAAAGATTTAATATATTGTATTAAAATTGTTTTGTAAATTTAAATATATTTCTAAAAAATTTTTTTTTATATTTGTATTTTTTTTTTAGAATATTACTACAAATTTTTATTTAAATTGAATAAAATTTTAATTTTTTATTAATAATTTTTAATGAAGTTATATAAATTCTATTTAAAATTTTTTTTATTTATTATAAAACCTACATGGTTTATTGTAGAATGTTTTTGTTAGAATTTATCGTTATAATTAGATTTAATGTATAGTTTTACTTAATAACTTATATATAAGTGCCGCCAAGTAAAATTCTGAAAGTAAATATTTAAGTTATCACTAGTGGATTTATCATATTATGATATAATATGATAAGTTCTTTACAGTGATAACTCATATTGGATTAACTGTTGATCCATGATTTAGAGATGTTATGTAGTCTGGTCTAAACTAATAAACCATAGTTTTAAGACAATTTTAGAACTGAAAAAAATTGGAGACTAGTCTAAACTAGTTAATTATAAAACTATAAACTATTAAAAAAACCAAACCAGAATTAGACCAAAGTCGATTATACTAGACCAGACTAGATTGTTTATATCCCTATCTATAACTATTAAACTATTTAAATAAATACTTGATCAAATTAGTATAGTTTTTTTTTTTTTTTTTTTTTTTTTTTTTTTTTTTTTTTTTTTTTTTTTT